AGATGTTCTTCATTTTATAAAATGTAGTTTTTGCCTGTCCTGTTCTGTTTCTTAACTTCGCAATGCATCTTCCTTCTGATGTTATCCATGTGCCCAGATACTTAAATTTGTGTACTTGTCCCAAAATAACACCATTAACTTTTATTATACATTTAGGAATGATACCACCATTACTTCTGTCTTTCCATTATTCAAACTGAGACCCATTCTTCCACTTCCTACCACCACAATTTTTGTCATTTCCTTTAGCTCTTATATATATATATATAAAGGGAGTTTAAGATGCACAGAAAAGCTTGGAAATGCCGTATCATTGATAAGATATCACCAAACTCCGCCAGGCATCCAATCACCAGACTTCATATGTAGTCTATCCCGTGCATGGGTTGTCTACTTAGCAGTGAGGCTGTGTAACTCGTTTAGAACAGCCCGTGGATGGAGACAGCCTATTCAACACACATGGAACAAGAACATAAATGAGGCAAGTGGACTGGCAGAAAACGAGTTTCTTGAAGATATACTGTGATCAGAGCAACGATCACAATTTTTGCTACGTGGTGATGCTTATGATGGTGGTGATGGTTGTGGTGATGGTGGTGGTGATGGTTGTGGTGATGGTGGTGGTGATGGTTTTGGTGGTGGTGGTGGTGATGGTTGTGGTGATGGTGGTGGTGATGGTTTTGGTGGTGGTGATGGTTGTGGTGATGATGTGGTGATGGTTGTGGTGATGGTGGTGGTGATGGTTTTGGTGGTGGTGGTGATGGTTGTGGTGATGGTGGTGGTGATGGTTTTGGTGGTGGTGGTGGTGATGGTTGTGGTGATGGTGGTGGTGATGGTTTTGGTGGTGGTGGTGGTGATGGTGGTGGTGATGGTTTTGGTGGTGGTGGTTGTCCTGGTTGTGGATAGATGATAATATTGAGGTTGATGTCCCCGTGTGGGCTCCGGCTCCCTACTCTGAGAAAAATCGAATAGATCAACTGCTGCTTAACAAGCAAGCTGAAAAAAGCAACTGAGGGCGTTTTCTTCAAAGTCTGGTAGATATGGAACCAACGGTCTGCACACAAATAAGCCAGTTTTGTAAAACGGATGTGCACGCATAAATCACTTTCAGCAACAACACAGAAATACAGAAATGGATGATCAATCAGAACTTTCTGGTGGAGTTTACAGAAGGTGAATGCTGATGATAACACTTCAGGAATAATTTTCCCAAGATAGTTATAGACGAACGCATGGATAATTTTCCTGCGTGATGAGTCAGTACAATATTCTTATATACATGTGAAGCATGGACAATAAACAGCCAAACTGAGGAATACATAGCATATCAAACGTAATTTTTAGGGAGTTCAAAGTATGCCACGAACGAAAGGAAATATAGACTAGCCAATGCTTCACCAAACAGTCTGAGGTCAGGAGAAATCACTAAAAGTCCAAGTACATGTGAAAAAATCTCAGCCCTTACCAGGGATTGAACCTGGAACCTCTAGCACTCGAGGAGGACACCATGCCTCGAGACCACGCAGCTCCCAAATAAGTGAATACGGGTATAACTAACTGCACGGAGGGATGTACACTAATTAATAAAGGTCACAGAATATGCCAGAGATTAAGGCTGAAAATGTGGGGGTGACTGCTTCCCCATCTGGTTAAGCTTTTGAGTCAAATTTCACGGGAATTCCAGAGATTAAGGGACTTGCCAGAATGGCTAAGAAGTCAAGCTGGCGGAGATAACCTATACAAGCCATTTACCGTTTCCTTTTTTTTTTTTTTTTTACTGAACCCTCTCCTTTTCCGGACAACCTTTTGCCTCCCAGAATATAGCTTTCTGTGTCTGATAGTGAAGTGACGTTCGAACGCATCATCATCATGTGCCACGCCAGTAAGTGTAGCCAGTCATGACTCTCTAGATCTTTGATCGCCAGTTTCCGCAGGGGTGCCTGACCCTGGACACCACCATAATACCCCTTCCCCCCCCCCCCGCTTGGGTATCCAGCCCCCTACCTCTCCCTCCTTTCTAGAAAATGTTGAAGGTTTAGAAGGAGTCCAAACACGTGACCATATACAAAAGTTCTCTTTTAAAGCATTTCCTAATACATTTCAAATTATTTCAAAATATTATCATTGTGCACTTAAACAAGACTAAAACCGCTTGAGGATTCCACTTTTTGAAAATTTACACGGGTGCTGAGTTCCCGCAATGTTTTTATTGTGTCGGCGTCCCTGAATCTAAGGTCAGGTATGAGTTCATGTACAGAACATGTAATATGGCCAACCCATCTACTTTTTATCTCTTCTTCTTCTTGCTGCTCCTACACCGGCAAGTTTACCATCTGTCACTAAGTAGTCAAATGTATTTATTTGTCATCCTAACAAACCACTTGTGGCTGTTGAGATTTCAGTTTTCCAAACAATACCGGTTTTTAACTGTTTCGTGGTTGGGGGGGGGGGGGGGGCTGCGTGTTCTCGAGGCATGCTGTCCGCTAGAGGTGCTAGAGGTTCCGGGTTCAATCCACTGGGATTTTTTCACCTGGACTTGTACTACTAGTAATCCCCCCTGGTCTCTGGGTAGTGAGATCGAACGCCCGTGCGTAAGGTAAAGAAATCCCTTGGCAGTTGGAAATCGAAAAGAGAAGCTGCCCGGGCAAAATTTTGATTT